ACATTAGTAACTTACTTTTAACAGCATCAGACGCGCGCACGCTCACAAGATCTCCCTGTTCTTACTTGTGAATTCAGTTCACTGGAGACTCGCACTAAACGGTTCATTTGAATCAGTGAGTTGTCGACTCGAGAACAGCTGCAATCGGATCATTCCAATTCGTGAATGAATTGTTTGGTGCGATTTGCGAACAGATTTAACGGGTTCATTGAAAAGAATCAGTTCGTTCATGAATTTTCTGAACCTGAAGCTTCTGCGTCTCGGAGCACGTGATATATTATAAGGAGTAATGAGAAGTTTTATGAAATGTAGTGAAGTAAAAGTTACTCAAAATAAAACTACTCCAGTAAAGTACAGATACTTGAAAAATGTACTTAAGTACAGTAACGAAGTAAAACTACTCCGTTACTGTCCACCACTGCTCACCTCATTAACAACCTTTTTTTTTTTTTAAGTTTGTAAATACACAATAGGGGACTGTTCAGTTTGGTACTTCTACATGCAGGAGAGGCAGTGTTAACGAGGAGACTATGAAGTGTGGTTCTGAAATTAACACTCTGCCAGAGAATTTAAACACACATACACATACTTTCACTCACTCTCAACAACATGCCTCCAAACACACAGTGGCCAGACTAAATTGTTAACAAAAGCAGACCTATCGGAATTTTAAGTGTATTATATATGAGAATAGTAATGAAATTCAATTGCCAGTCGGTGTTAAAGGTATTCGGCATAAATTTTTTGACGATTCCTCTGAGAATAAAATGCATGACGAGGAGTGAACATGAAACAGGAGAGTATTTTGACAGTTTTGTCTGAAAATCTAGATGTGATAATACAATGTTTCTCACTATCGGTTTTCTTTAAACAGCCCAAGAGGCTTTGCTCCTCAGATTTATCGCATGGCATTTCACTGTTGTGTTGCACCAAATTCTTCTTCTTAACTATTTGGGACACACATTCTGGACTTCAAGTTGAAAATTGGACTTTAAGGGGATGAGGTTCAGCAGGGCCTGGTTATTTGGACTTGTCCATCAAAAGGTAATTGCAATTCCTTGTTGAGCGAAGTCATTTTCCTCAGGCCTGAAATGTGTGTGTTTCTCATTAAAAGAATGTCCAGCTCTGCACAAAGGAATTGTTATGTTTGGGCAACATCTGTGTCTTAAAATGCGAGGGCGAAAAGGCCAGAGAAAATATAGGACAAACATTAAATCATAAGTACAACAATTTTTCCTTGGTAATTGAATGGTTGGCTCTACTTTTCCCACAGAACTGTGGTGCGTCTGTGTGTGTGAGCGTAAGGAGAGAAAGAAAATCGCTGAGTGAAGACTGTAGGTTTCGATTCGCTCTTCCTCTTGTCTGGCTTCCTCCACAGCTTTGGAAGAACATAAAAACGACAATGAGAAAATGATTTTCGAACTTTATTTATAAAACATTAGTGAAGTAAACCAAAAAGGCTAGTCATATCCATAAGATATGAAGCATTACATCCCTTTGAGATAGAAATAAATAAATAAATAGGAGGTAACATTTTACAATAAGGTTCCATTTGTTAACATTAGTTTACTATGTTAGTTTTATTTAAAATTTTAATTAAAAAAGTAATTTAAAGGGGTCATATGATGCCCATTTTCCACAAGTTGATATGATTCTTTAGGGTCTTAATGAAAAGTCTGTAACATAGTTTGGTTAAAATTTCTCAATGGTAGTGTAAAAACACCTTTTTTTTACCCTGTCAAAAACAGCTCTTTTCAGATCAAGCCGTTTTTGTAGCATTTCCCTTTAAATGTTAATGAGCTCTGCTGACCCCGCCCCTCTCTTCCGAGCTGCTCTCAGAGAGACTGTTTACTTTAGCCGCATTCATCGTGAAACTTGCTAATTAGCACATTATTAGGAAAGGCGATTTGCAAAGATTCATTACAAAACAATATACTCACTTCTTCTGAGATGAGGCTGGATTATGAATGATTCGCGCGAACATAGACGCATTTAGGCAGATCGGGGGAGCATTCCCTTCAGAAACAAACTAAATCCACTGCGTCTTCAGCGGCTCAGATGTCAGGAGTAAATGACGACTGCTATGTTCAGTATTACATCCAACAACAGAACACCTCAATCGCTTAGGAGTCATTCTTGTCTACATCTGCTGCAGCGGTGAAACACTGGAGGACTGATGACAGCTCACTCAGGGCGGGTCTAAGGTAAGACACCAGTCCAGTCTGTGCTGAAACGCTACGGTCAATCAAACTATCGTGGGAGGGGCCTGTCTGTGTGACGTCACACAGACAGGCATCTGAGATCGGCTCGATTTGAGAAAGGGGAAAACATTTAAACAGATTAAAAAAAAACACCGGGTGGATTTTTATCATTATAGGGTGGTTGTGTACACACACTGCCAACACACATTTCAGTTCAAACAACTTGTAAAAGTGCATGTAGCATCCTATGACCCCTTTAAA